ATTATTTTTTTTTGAGATGAAGTCTCGCTCTGTCATTTATGCTGGAGTGCAGTGGCCCGATCTTGGCTAACTACAACCTCCACCTCCCTGGTTCAAGTGATTCTCCTGCCTCAACCTCCTGAGTAGCTGGGATTACAGGTGCATGCCACCACATCCAGCTTCTTTTTTTTTTTTTTGTATTTTTAGTAGAGATAGGACTTTAACATGTTGGCCAGGCCTGTCTCAAATGCCTGACCTCATGATCCACCTGCCTCAGCCTCTCAAAGTGCCGGGATTACAGGCATGAGCCACCATGTTCTTAATTAACTTGGATTAGAACTTTGGTATTATGTACGTCTTTACTACTTGTGGTTGAGAGAGACTTCCCTTCAAATTTGTTCCACCAGAGGCATTTTTCAAAGTTTGTTTTTAGTTTTTGGTCATACTGTAGACATCTGTTAACTGGAGATTGGCCTGACATTTCTGGTTGATTACCAAAGATCCTGGAAAAGTCATTGGGAGAGTGTTCATTCTTAGTCATTATCAACATGTGTTTTTTGAGTTTATAGACATCACCATCATTTTTTTTCTCACTTTAGAGAACCCTGTGTTCTTTTGAATCTGTATGTAATTTAGTGACTTTTTAAACTGCCAGGTAGTATTTGAGATAAAATCAACCATATAGTAGTAGCAGTACAGTTTAATCTAATACAAATAGGAGAGCTTGTTCAAATTTAGATAACATTGGGTCAATCACAGTATATTTAAAATTAAATAATTCTGTGGCAGAAGGCCCGGACCCTGTAAGGAGGCAGTGTCCGAGTCCACAGTGGTACATGCTTAGCCATCAGCAAACAGGTTAGGCTTGCCTAGGGATCACCTTACAGAGATTTTAAAAGATGCCTTGTTAAAACATGATATTCTTTACTCCATAGATACTTTAGCATTAGTGAATTTTATGGGGGGACAAAAGATGAGAGTTTAACCACTGAAGAGATTTGGCAGTTTCAATTAAACAACTGCACCCTTTAAATTTTAATTTTGAAATCAGTGACTGCTGGTATTTGGATGTTCATGTTAATGTTCCTGGGAAGGTGATGTGCTTTTTTACTTCTGATCTTTTGTTTAAATGAAGTATTTGATCTTGAAGGGTTCTTCCAGCTTAAAATCTTTGTCTCCTGGGGTTCTGGAGTTTAGTTTTGTGTTTAGGAACAACTGCTCCAAGTTTTAGGTCTTTGCAGCACTTAGTATCTTCTGTTAAGATGGTTTCTTTCTGAGGCCAACAGAGGCAGTGAGATGTCTCCTTTTAGTCTGGTCTTGGTCCACTGAATTCAGATATCTTCCAGGAGCAGTGAAAACATGGATGATGATAAGATAATAGCTATTACTTGTTGAACTTATTATACATGACTTGACATTTTCTTATCTTCACAGCAGTCTATACAGTTCAGTTATTACTCCCTCCATTTTACAAATGAAGAAGCCAGGGCATGGAAAAGATAAACAGTTTGCCAAAGATCACGCAGCTAGTGGTAGTAAATCCATATGTAAGCCTTGATCTGTCTGGCGCCAAAGCCTGTACTTGCAACTATGCAATGCTGGCTCTAAGTAAGGACCTCAGCTCTCTGGAAATTGCCCTTCTGAGACATTTGTGAGTTGGTGGTGCTTTGACCTCATATGATATACGTGTGTGTGTGTGTGTGTGTGTGTGTGTATATAGTGCTATGACCTCATATGATACGTATATATATTTGCTTCTCTATCCCAAAAGGTGAATTCTTAGGACTTACTACTGATACCACTGATAAGATTGTACAACTCATGTGAATTTGAAGGTACTGATCTGTAGGAGTATCTTCTGGATGAAAATTCTTTAAACAATTTCCTTTTACTTATGTATCACAATAATTTATATGGCTTTTGAGCCTCATATATTTGTAATTATTGTCATACGTTATCCTTTCTAATCTCTTAATTATAAAGCCCCTGTACTTCAGATTCTCTTTATGGTATTGGTAATGTCATGTCTAGAATCTACTCTTAAGACTGTCTATAGGTTGTTTATCCCCATCAGCCCTTATTATTTTAAATGGGTATCCACCCATCTATACTCTGTAACCACAGGTTTCCAGAACTTCTCCACAGATAACATCTTAGAGCTCACCACTACCCCCACCCTCAACTTTTTACTTCGTAAGTGTTGTAACTGAATCCCAGAAAGAGTGAGAGAAAACACCTGTAAAGAGGGAAGCTCTCTGGGTGTGTGAAATTATAAATTAAGAAAAATTTAGAAAGAAGTGTTGCTCCTGAATCTGAAGCTTTGAAATAAAACCTCACCATGTATTTAACATACATTAGTTTGTAAATATGGAGTCTCGCTAATTACATTTACAGCTCACAGCAAAACTACCTGTTGAGTCTTGTTACTATAAGGGAAAAACTGAGAGCTGTACATGTTTTAAAAAACTGGAATGCAAAGAATAGTGTGGTGTAAATTGTCTCTAATTATGTGTCTTTTTTCTGATGAGGCAATTAATTGGTTCGCTCCAGACCTTTTCTGTTGAGGAAATTAATCCGTTTTTCTGTTACAGTGATAACGCACCTGAATTCAGGTGTGCCAAGCTTAGAGAAAATGGTACAGAATGCCTCATTTTGTAAAGCAATCAATTATTGTTGTCCTTTCTCTTTTTATTGGAATGACCAAAAAATACCAAAACTGATATTTTACAGAATCATTGTTTACTCATATTGGATCATTATTTTGCCTTCAATATGATTAAATGTTTCATTGTATTATTGAGAAAACCAAATGTATCTCCCGTGAGAGTGACTTAGTAATTTAATAATGACTGAGGGATAGTCTTTAAACTTTGTGTTATGATAAGCTTTTCATAAACATTCTACAAAATGAATCTCATCTGTTTTTATCTGAAAAGGTGGACTCCTCCAAGAAGAAACTACAGAAAAGTGTGAATCACTATATAATATCAGTATAAAGTCATTATACTTCCTGGCCTGACAGTGTATAATTTCAGGCCAGGAAGCTACCCCACCAATCAGCTTCAATTTACTGATGAGCAGATGGAGGCCCAGGACATACAGTGGCTATGTGGCAGTGTGGGATTTTTGCCTGCCTTTTCTGACCCCTGTTTTGGTGCCATTTCTCCAGTATCTTGCTAGAGCGTTTATGAAAAACAAAGCGTTTCCTCTTCCCTTCCCCCAGAGATAATGATCACTGACTAAAGTAGTATTGGGGCCTGGGTTTTAAAATAGTAATCCCTAGAGAAGCATAGTAATTTGACTTTTCCTATAAGTTATCTTTAGTAGGATTTGAGTTGTCTTCAATGATATAAAATTTTAGACTGCATGTGTGTCTCTATGGTCATAAGATTCATCTAAAGGGAAATTTATTGTGCTGAGAAATGTATATTAACATTGGTTCCTTAATTGCTAAAGCTATTCCTGGTCTTTTTTTTTTTTTTCTTTGACCCTAGTTGTCAAGCAAAAGTGCTTTTCCAGAGATTCACGGATAATTATGTCAAGATGTTAGGGGCATTATTTCTCCCAGTTCTCCCAGTTTTTAAGCTTGGTGGGACTCAAGTGTTTGTTTGATATCTTGACTACCACTGGAGATAAATACTAATAACAGGATTCAAATAATACTTAAGAAGACTCATTGTTTGCACTTAAGGTTGTGGGCTCTGGTGTTCACATTTTCTGTTACATTGATTGTTGAATGGTCTTGGGGAAGTTTTTTTAACCTCAGTAAGCCTCAGTTTCCCCATTTGTAAGGTAAGATTTTCTGTGCAGTCTTGTCATATTACAAGTATGCACTGCATGTTAACTGCTGTTCCTGCTGTTTTTGTTGATGCTTCTGTTACTGTTATTCCCAAGCCAAAAAATATTTCTAAACCTGCTTTGGGAAAAGCTAGTAAGAAAGGATGTGGATTCTATTTCTAAATTTTAGTGAAAGGAAAAATGGGGAGAAAGGATGTACCTAGCATGTTACTGAAGGTGTCACCTCCTTTAAAAGAAAATTTTACCTGATGGAATGGAAGGAATAACACAATATTATTGTTGTTAGCTTATTTTGGTATGCTTCATTTCTCTTCTACTTCCTCATACCAATATATATACTGTTCTAATGGGCAAGTTGCACATGTGAACTTTCATGCTGGGTTCTAGAAGTGGGACACCCAAGGGCTCAGCCACAGAATTAAACACCATGGAACTGAAGGAGGCAACTCCACTGCCCCAGCGCATGCTGGGACTTTCCCTTATGGGGCTGTTTTAACCTGTCTTTCACGGTGCTGATCTCAAGTAGAGTGTGGTGGAGAAAGCCAGTTCAAAAGGCAGCTGCCAGGGAAGAGAGAAATGGTTAACAAAGTATTTTTTGGCTGTTTGAACTAGTGAATTGTTGAGTGAGTTTTCTTTCTGTGGACGCTTTTAAGGGAAAACTGGAAATTGATCGCATACCTATCATGTATGCACTTGTCCTTTGCCTGCATCTGTTCATAGGCAGAACATGAAATCCACTGACAACTATTACCTGGAGGACTTTTATAGGTTTTGAAGAAAATATGACTAGGGTAGAGCTAGGACATGCTTTTATTGTCCTTGAGTGACTCCAGAAGCCACCCTTACCTGCAAATTCTATGTATCATTCTTAGGGTATTCATTTGTTTATTTTGATCAGGTATCAGTAGTACCGTGAATGCCCGAGCACTGGGAAGCCGCCCTGGCCCACTTATTGTAGGTGGTTTGAGACATTTTTTCCAAGGATACTTCCGAGGGGAAAATACAGGATCTGGGTACATTTCTAAATTATGGGATATAATTTATAACAAAACATTTAACTTCTCTGTGTTTTCTGAATATTGCATTCTGAAGCCAAATCGTGACTGTTGCTATGTGTCTTCTATGCTCTTTCACAAAATTACAGTGACTAGTTTTCTGTTGGATTAAATGCTTTGAGCTTCATATGACTTAATTAATAATATTCTTAACTTTATGTTTTTCAGGGATATCAGTATGAACAACATTACTCAGTTGCCAGAAGATGCATTTAAGAACTTTCCTTTTCTAGAAGAGCTGTAAGTATTACTTTGAGAAATGTGTCTGTATATCTTTTTTCCCCAGTTCCTTTTAAAAGCTTTTGCTAGAGATAATCTGATGTTTTCTGTTAGGAGACATTTTGATAGCTTAATTTCAGTGGGCTTTGTTTAGAAGAAATCATGTTTCTTAGGGGAAACAAACTTAGTTTTCCTAGCAGCGTAGTTGCTGAAGCTATTTTTGAAAGCCGTCACTAAAAAAATGCTGCTTCCATAGGACTTCTTTTTTGCTGCAGTTATCATAACTGCAAATGCTGCAGTGACACCAGTTAATTACAGTGTTATTCTGAGATAACAAGGCTGCTGTATAATTACCATTGTTGCCAAGGAGTTGCTATATGGGTAACAGAACCACAAAAAATAACATAAGGTGTTTCAGGGTCATGAGCAACAATCTCAACAGCAAGCCAGCAGAAAACTGAGGGTAGGTCCCCTTGGACATTTGCAGACAACCTTCAGAAATGGGGTGAAGGCATGAAACACTGTCCGTGTCTTTAAGAGCACCTCTAACTTTGAGAATGTTTCTGAACTTGTCAGTTGCATCTCACATTTCCAACTTAATAGTTTGCACTGTGGAAATATTTATTCTCTTGTTTAATCTCCTTTTTGTTGTGCTCTCCACACTTTTTTGAAGTCCATAATCAAAATAGGCACTTTTGGGTTTTTTTGTTTTTCTGTTTTTTTTTTGAGATGGAGTTTCGCTCTTGTTACCCAGGCTGGAATGCAATGGTGCGATCTTGGCTCACCGCAACCTCCGCCTCCTGGGTTCAGGCAATTCTCCTGCCTCAGCCTCCTGAGTAGCTGGGATTACAGGCACACGCCACCACTCCCAGCTAATTTTTTGTATTTTTAGTAGAGATGGGGTTTCACCATGCTGACCAGGATGGTCTCGATCTCTTGACCTCGTGATCCACCCGCCTCGGCCTCCCAAAGTGCTGGGATTACAGGCGTGAGCCACTGCGCCCGGCTGCACTTTTGGGTTTTAAAAGAATTCGGTACCATATATTATGTTTTAAGAATCCCAGTGAAAAAATAAAATCAGACTTGAATTAAGTTAATATAGGCTTCTAAAGGCCGAGCTAATGGATTATATAATATATAGAGGTAGGAAAGTGACAGTTTGATACAAAGAACATGAAAGAGCAAAGGAATCTAAATTTATATTACAGATTGTATCAAACAGCCCAGCTGTTGAGTATTAGATCCAAGTCAGTGAAAGTCTTCCATCTTAGTTCAGTCCCTCCCTGGAGAATAGGGAACAGGAATCAAATAATATATACAGATTATGTACTCTGATAGAATAGTGAAATAGTAGTTGAAGATTTAATAAAATTAAAGAGAAATTTTTCTTTCCACACTACTTAAACACAATGCTCCCACAGCAAAAATTGAACAGAGATTATTTGCCACTTAAAAGTTTATGAGCTAGGTCAAATTACTTCTCTCTGCTTAGTTTCTTTGTCTATAAGGTGCACCTGATAATGGTCCCTCCGTAGTAGTATTCTAGTGAAGATAGTGAATTAATTTATGTTAAATGGTTAGGAAAGTACATGAAACAGAGTGAATGTTATGTAAATGCTACCTAGTAAACACTAGGTTTTTTTTACTGTTTTAAAAGTACATAAGAAAAAAAGCACAAGAGTATATACCAAATGTTATCTTTGGGTAAAAGTATGTGGTTTATTTTTGCCTCCTATGTGTGTGTGTGTATTTTGTTTTTTTTTTTTCCTGTAGTGAACACTGATTATTTTGTTATAAAGTTATTTTTAATCAAGATTTTTCAATTGAGCTTCAAAGAAGCAAACCATGCATTTGAAGTTTCTACCTCCACCTCTCTCCATCAAGCCTTAAGATGCTTTACCTCTTCCTTTTTATTTCACATACAATTTTAGACTATAGGATTATTCTCTCTTTACAGAAGTAATATGTGATGGAAGGACATTAACGAATGGTTGTTCAGCCATTGTATGATATAATCACTATGGGATGGGTAATATGCCAGGCCAGCAATGGAGAAGCTCCCTTCATTCTGGATAAGGCCATTGTGTGCAGACCATCTTTGTTGATGCCTTTGATTGCCAGTTATACTTTAAGGAATTTTGTAGTGAAGACCTGGATGTAGAGTCAAACCTGTTTAATCTGCTTAATGAAGTTCAAATCTTAGATTTCTTAAAATCTCAAATGACCAAACGTATACCAACCTCATGAATTCTGTCAACCAGGACTTTTAATTGGAACCAAATTGAATTTGACTGCTAGCTCTTTGTAGCAAGGTCATGTTCTGTCCATATTCTGCTATCATAGTATTGAAACCCATCAAATCAAGTCAGTATACCCTCTCTAAATGTTGTATGGTATTTCAGAAATGAATTCAGTTAGGAGAGCAGAATGTTACTTTTAAAGAGTACTTCAAAATAGTCTTTCATACTTGTGCAGTACTGTAAACATTCAAGGGAATTTATTTTCCACGTTAATATAAATATGATAAAAAGCCTATGCTTTTTTCTTATTAAATAGTGTAGTTGATTTTGACACTCCATAACGATGCTGCCATGACTATTGTAATATTTCATAAACAGCGTAACTGTTTGTCCAGAAGTCATCTGGAAGTCATTTAACAGTGATCATGAAGCCAAATACCCTGAATAGAAATTATTTGCTGAGGGCTTTTTCCTTCCATGTTAGTTAATAAGGTGTACTTTACAAGATGTGACTGGGTTTGGCAAAATTTGATGTGGTGAATGTTTGACTGTGGTAGAATGCTTGGGGTATTAGGAGAAATCACTTCCCAATAATACAGAAGAAGTATGTGTAGATATTTACACATTTCCTTATTCTTTCAATAAACTCGGAATCCTACTCTATGCCAGGTAGCAGGTGCTGGGAACACAGACACAAGCATGACTCATCTTCAGAGTTGACAGACTCTCTAGAGTTGTGCCGTCCAGCACCATAGCCACCAGGTGGCTATTATGTTTAGATTTAAGGTAAATAAAATTACATAAAATGGAAAAATTCAACTGGCCACATTTCAAGTGCTCATATAGCTGCCTATAGCTAGTTGCTACTATATTAGACAGTGCAGATGTAGATCATTTCCATCATTGCAGAAAGTTCTATTGAACAACATTGATCTAGAGGGAGAAATGAAACTAACACTTGGTGCTTCATGGTGAAGATATGTGTTCAGGGAGCAGAGGCCTAAAATAATGTGTTTTCTTAAGATTGTAGGATTTGGGAAAGTCTTCCACAATGGCTTCTGCTGAGTATTGAAGGACATGTAGGAATTAACCGATGAGGGTGGTAGTAAGGGTGTTCTGGGAAGAACTTCATAGCATGTGGAAGGCATGGAGATAGAAAATTTCAGAAGTTTTAGGATGCATAAAGGTGCATCTTGTTATGACAAGACTAAAGCATACATATGGAAAAATGTCAGGCAATGAGGCCAATTAATGAAGGATCATTTTCAGATAAGAAATTTAGACTTGTCCTGAAGGAGTTTAATTTGATATTTGGGTGAGTAATAGGAATGAGACTAGGATTTTGCCCTGAATAACTGGGTGTCATTTGCTGAGACTGGGAACACAGAGAGCTGATCTATTTGGGGCCCAAATAATTCTATTTCATAAAGACAGGATAGAAAATGGTATGTGTCTAGAGCTTTGCAGTGAACAGAAGTCCATTCCCATAACTCTGTGAGGAAAGTCAGTTTTACAAAGGTAGAAGTTGAGCTGACAGAGTTAAGGGCCTTACTGGAGTTCACGAGCCTGGTATGTTGTTTGGCTAGGACTCGAAGTCAGGCCCCTAGAGCCCAGTGCTTTCTGGAACACCGTGAGTGATATATATTTGTTCTCCAGAAAATATTCTATCCAACTTTTTCAGTGAAACGTACTTGAGATACTATTGTTGCCAGTTGTTTTATTCTCACCTTTTACCTACTTTTTTTCTCCTTCTTTTTCTAATCCTGTTCCTTCTGCATATTTACCCTGCTTTTTGAAAGTTTTATTTCATAAATAGCGTTACCCAGTGATTTTTGCTCTCCCCCACACCTTTTGGGAATACAGAAACATAGATCCTGGCCCTGAATGCAGTACATGAAAGGTTCTGAAATCTTTGCACTTCACTTTCCTATTCTTTAAAATGGAACTTCTCACAGAACTACTGTAAAGGGAATGTGGGATAATTTATGCAAAACTGATTTGTGACCATAAAGTGCTTTGTTGTTGTGAGAAATTTCACTAATCATTTTAAATATTGCAGCCTTTCTTGAAGTTATTTGAAGGAGAGATGGCTTTGCTTGGAGGTAGAAGTTGGAGTTTCTATTAGCAATGTAAAAGGAAACCCAGAATTTTAAGAAAACATTCACTTAGTGTTGACAGGCTCTAATGCCTGATGTGACGTTGTCAGACGTGTTTTTGGCTTTCCTTTAGATTTGTCGGGTTTTGGTATTCATTTGGGAAATGGCTGAAATTTAGAGCTGTGAAAATGATTGAGTTAGAAACAGCAGAAGGAACATCCAGCTAATTTTCCATAGGCTGTCACTAAAAAAAATTGCTGTGGCTGTTACTTTGATGTGGCAACAGCAGTAGAAGCCATTGCCAGCTTTGGCACTTGGACAGTTATTGTTTAATGCACACTATATGACTAGGATAATTCCAGTCATTTCAAAACATGATTTGACTTTGGAAGACTTCACAATGCTAAAGTGAAACTTAGGTCTCTTCACAAGACCTAAAGTGAAACTTAGGTCTCTGAATGCTAATTGAAGATTACCTGTCATTTTGTTTCATCTGTAGGATAGTTAATTCTAAACAGAGTTACTACTTTACAGAAGGGGACTAGTAAATAATTTAAGCAGAAAGATTTAAAATCAAATAAAAACAGGGGTGGGTCAAATTAAATAGTTTTAAATAATTGAATTACATATTTATACACATACACATATATGTCAAATACAGCTATTCAGTCCCATGACAATAATA